TACGAACTTCATATTTATTTGTTTTGGTCAATATTTCCCTCATGTAATTAATTGTTTGAATGACCTACCACAGTCATACACTTTACCATGTTAGTATCTTCAGCATTTGGTAGCCATTTCTCTATAAACCTTGTTGCATTAAACAGACACCTGAGAAAAATATATTTATATAAGTATATCTGTCTGTATAAATATATAGTTCAGTGTTGTTTTTGTGGGAGCATCTGGCCAACAGCTTGATGACTGAGCATTGAATATTGTGATACTGTATACAAATATTTATTCTGTGAATTTCTGCATGGCCTGAAGTGCTGGCTGGTTGTGGGTATAAACACAAATGTAATGATGCTGCATCAGATATACTAGATTAGATTTTTCAATAAGTTGCAGTAACATTGGTTCTAGCTTGCTTGCTTTCTGGCAAAATGGAAAGGTTTATAAATCAACATTGGTAAAATGTTCTTTTTTTTTTTTAAATGATCATGGCTCCCTATCAAGTCAATCCAGTCTATAATTAGAAATCAATAATGTTCTCAGAAAATAAATATTTCAGTAATTGAAAATTAAATTCTAATTAAGATGAAGAATTAACATGTTTATTTGTCTGATTAAGATTCAGCAAATTTTGCTGATGGAATTTGTTTATGAGATAATAAACAGAAAAAAAAATGTATATAGTTTACTCAAATTTGTACAAATGATTTTTATAAAAACTGAACTTGAAGTTTATTCAATATTATTGTGAATGTGACGTGATCGTCAGCTGTAGAATGTCTTTTCCCTTTATCAAAAATGTTTGATACTTTATCTGATTTTGATTGTTTATTTCCATTGTGGCAGTTATCCCATTGTTAATCAGTGTGTGTTGGGAATTGTTTAAAAAGATTTTTTTTTTAATCCTTAGTTGGGGAACATGTTTCACTTGTCTAAACGGTCACCATGTAGTGTAGCGGCTAGAATGTTTTATTTAAAAAAATTTTTTTTTAGTTTTAGATTTTGCAAAACGTTTTTACGCTATCCTTGAGCAGTGCTATGAAACCTAACTGCTTTATTACTAAGGGGGTGTCATTTATTGGTAGTACCTCTGGTTGGGAAGCTTGTCATGTCCTTTTTAGGACAGCTTTGGTCTAAAACTAACACACAGCTCTCACTGTGGCTCCACGTAGCTGTCAGCGTGTGACAGCGGCCACCCCCTGGGCAATGGCTTTGACAGGCCGCCAAAACTAGGTGAGGGTAGCCAATGCTCTTTTTTTTACCATCGGTGAGTTAGGATCTGCCTATTCAAGCATGCAAAGACAACTGTCGGCAGAATATGCGGAGGAAACCACATTTGGTTCAACGGGCAAGAGGGTGACACTAGCAAAGCGCTGTGGAGCGCAAAGAGCATGGCGAGGCAAGTAGAATGCCCTGGTCATCCACTGCACCTAGACATATCTCCAGTCGTCCTGACTCTGTCTTGCCACTGGACCCAGATATGACTTGGGCGAGAGAGTGAGGTCGACGACACTGCGCAACTCTTCCTCACTTTAATCCAAGTCACCGCGCAAGTCACTCTTTCATCAACACACACACATATTTCAGAAATCAAAATGAACAGAAGAAGTAACCTAAGTTGCCAGATTTCTTAACATGAGCAGACCTAACTTAATATAAAATCACATGAGGTGATATTTGTGGCAGATGGTAAATTGCCAGTTGCACACAGCCTACTTGGTACCAGAAGAGTTAAAAACCTAAAGTTGACTTTTTAGTTCTTTTGTAGTCATTGCTTCATTATCTCTAACTGAAACAGTTAGCTTTTGTAATTTGCTTGAATCTAGCAATTTTATCTATCTGTTCCTGTCAAATGTGTGAAGGAAACCAAAAAAATACCATATACTGTAGTATGCACCTGACAAGATAGAGCTGATATGCCAGGCAATAAATTGTGCAGTTTATAGTTTGTGTCTTCTTTGTTCAAATTTAAAATGGGGAAACATTGTTTTGATATATTTATAGTCCAGCCTGCCTTGACTAGAGACCTGGTCCTGGCTAATGTCCAAGGGAGATAAGAATGACAATACTTAACTAATGGGTATGTTACTTCCAGAGGAGCCAAATGTACAACCCCTGCAGGAAACAAATATGTTTTCAGAGTTCTTCGAAGTCCCTCACTAAACATAAGATGTGAAAACATAAATAAAATATATATAACATGAAGACTGGTACATATGAATAACAACCAATCATATGTATTGCATGGCTTGTCACAGAAAGAGCTAACATGTCAAAATACCTCAGCTTTCAGGACAGGCCAGTTCTCCGCGATGCTGAGATCATGTAGAAGGTTGTTTTTTTCCTTCTCCTTGGTCTACAATATCCTAGGAACTTATCTGTAACATTTCACTTGGTCTACAATATCCTAGGAACTTATCTGTACCATTTCACTTGGTCTACAATATCCTAGGAACTTATCTGTACCATTTCACTTGGTCTACAATATCCTAGGAACTTATCTGTACCATTTCACTTGGTCTACAATATCCTAGGAACTTATCTGTACCATTTCACTTGGTCTACAATATCCTAGGAACTTATCTGTACCATTTCACTTGGTCTACAATATCCTAGGAACTTATCTGTACCATTTCACTTGGTCTACAATATCCTAGGAACTTATCTGTACCATTTCACTTGGTCTACAATACCCTATGAACTTATCCGTACCATTTCACTTGGTCTACAATATCCTAGGAACTTATCTGTACCATTTCACTTGGTCTACAATATCCTAGGAACTTATCTGTACCATTTCACTTGGTCTACAATATCCTAGGAACTTATCTGTACTATTTCACTTGGTCTACAATATCCTAGGAACCTATCTGTACCATTTCACTTGGTCTACAATATCCTAGGAAATAATCTGTACCATTTCACTTGGTCTACAATATCCTAGGAACTTATCTGTACCATTTCACTTGGTCTACAATATCCTAGGAACTTATCTGTACCATTTCACTTGGTCTACAATATCCTAGGAACTTATCTGTACCATTTCACTTGGTCTACAATATCCTAGGAACTTATCTGTACCATTTCACTTGGTCTACAATATCCTAGGAACTTATCTGTACCATTTCACTTGGTCTACAATGCCCTAGGAACTTATCTGTACCATTTCACTTGGTCTACAATATCCTAGGAACTTATCTGTACCATTTCACTTGGTCTACAATATCCTAGGAACTTATCTGTACCATTTCACTTGGTCTTCAACATCCTAGGAACTGATCTGTACCATTTTACTTAGTCTACAATATCCTAGGAACTTATCTGTACCATTTCACTTGGTCTACAAGATCCTAGGAACTTATCTGTACAATTTCACTTGGTCTACAATATCCTAGGAACTTATCTGTACCATTTCACTTGGTCTACAATATCCTAGGAACTTATCTGTACCATTTCACTTGGTCTTCAATATCCTAGGAGCTTATCTGTACCATTTCACTTGGTCTTCAATATCCTAGGAACTTATCTGTACCATTTAACTTGGTCTACAATATCCTAGGAACTTATCTGTACCATTTCACTTCAAAGGCTCCAATTTTGTTCTTAAAACTTCAAAGCTTGAGTACGAGTCCATGACTTGCATCCATAAACTCCCTTGTGAAAGATTTATGATCTCCAAATGTTTACTCAAACTTGCTTGCGGATGCTGTACCATGGGTTATCTGTTATCTTGCATGACCTTATTTTATCCCCATTCTGGTAATCCGCTGTCCAATCCCTCAACATCGTCAGTGACTGTTAATTAATCAGTGGTTAATCTTGTAATGATGGCTATGTGGGATTTCTGTATTCAATCTGAATGTTAAAACATATTCACAGCCACTAATATTTTTTGATTAAAATGCCTTGCCTTGCTAATTTTAATTAATATATTTGCATGTGATGATTTTGGGTAACTTAAAAGCTGTATTCTACATGTATGCACGTTGCCTTTGGGTAGTAACATATTAATATGTGGTTTTTAATTGCTTATTTTGGTATTATTCACACATGTGTGCACACACACACACACATGCATACACCCCAGCATGCACACTGTTCATACCATCATTAATGTTGTGTTGAGGGCCAGCTGTGATAAGTCTCCAATACACACTGTCCATGAAGCACTAAAAGTCCAACTCTTCAAGCCCAATCACTTGCAACTTTGTCTTCCCTTTTTAAGTGTTCCTTCAGCACATTTACTTTGCCTAAATCTTTATCTCAACTGGAATGTTTTTTCATTCCAGGTTTGTTTTTTGAATATTCTTTTTCTTTACTTCTGTTGAAATATATTTTCAGCAATATTCCTTAACTGATTCTGAAAAGAAAGCTGTTAAAAAATGTGTATTTGAAAGTTATCTTTCCCTTCTCTAAGCTTGGAAACAAATGGGGTGTCCTAAACCATTGCTGGGCAAATTAATGATGAAGCATTTTCAGTTGTAACCCCTTATTTTCATTCAGTGCAAGGTGTACAGGATTGCTCTGAATATACATGGGTCAATCTTATTTTTTTCCATCGGTTTGAGGTATTTGATTTTCAACAGACACAGACTTGGGAGCGATTATGGTGAAGTAGCTAGACACTCATCTGCACATCCGAAAGTCATAGCTTTAAATCTGAATGAAGCTGGACCTTTTTTTTAATTTTAATGATCTTTGCATCCAGGTTTCCCAGCCTCAAATGAGTACCAGGTAAAGTCCTGGGAAGTAAAGGTAGCCAGTGTGATTTTGACCACATCACCTACCAATTGGTGTATAAAATGTATGTCTAGCCCTATATGCCCAGAACATCTGAAAGCATGGAAAGGTGTCCTTTACTTTTCGCTGAAACCTTACGGGGACAGTGATGAAACAACATTCTATTACAGTTAATAGTTATTCTTGTGTTATTTTGGTACTACTGTGTGGAATTGTTATGCCATTAACAACAAAATTAACTTGTGTACATGTCATTGTATTGACAGGACCTTCACCATGTGTCTACGTCACTCACTGAGGTCATGGATGAAGGGGTCAAGGATATGTTGGAGTACAAGGATGAAGGCTACATTGAGTTGGTCCTGAAACTCCTGGCACGGGTTTGTGATGGGCAGCACTGTGGTCTACAGGTAGAGATCCATTCTTCTCTTTGTTGGTAACATCATTATCACATCATGTATCATGCCAACCAGCCTGACTGGTCACATCATCTCATGTGATCACCAGTGTCTTAGATCAGGCCTGTGTTCTGATCTCAGTTATACCATGTGGCCAAGTCATCTAGGTGTTTATCATTTTATTCTGCCAGTGCCAGCTCTAGCCTGGGCAGCAGAGCAAACAGCCACACATGAGGTAATTGTTTCAGACTCCATGAAAAAGTTTCAGAGAATAGCAACATGCAGTTTGTGCTCTGAATGGGTAGAACGCATTCAAAAATTGCACTTTACTTTCCTCATCTGGATCTACACATCTGGTCATGCTGGCATAAAGGGTAATGAGCAAGCAGACCAACCAGTAAACAGTACACCAATGCATTTGGGATGAAGCATGGACAGAGCAGATATCATCAACGCTCATGGAATAGGCTAGTGGATAATGATAAATCTCTGGCACTAACACGATTGCATGACATGGGAGTAAAGCATGGTGAAGCACTCAGCTCTCGTTACCACTGACAAAACTAACCATCCGCAGCTGAGATTGAACCTGGCAGTCCGTATTTATGAAGCTTGTTCACAACGCCTAAACCACAGATGCTGACATTTGCTTCCTAAATGTGGTAAATAACACAGAGGGCACTGCCCTTGTCAGTTACAAGTCAGGAAACTAGCAGACGACATTCTACAGAAAAGCTGGGTTTTCCCTCTTGGTTGGTTTTGACATTCACTTACAGAGAACTGTTATTTTGTATTAACTGCATGCATTCTGAATTTTATGAACATATTTAGTAGAAACTGTTTGAAACATTTGAAATGGTTACGTTATCTTTGATGTTTAAACAGAATTACTTGCGAGAGCAGCCAGACAATGTCAAGTCATTCAACATTGTGGGTGAGACAGGCCCAGTTTCTGAACGTGGTCTACACAACCATTAACAGCACCACCATTGACCTGGTGATTCAGCTCTTCAGCACTCTGAATGAGTTTTGTTCTGTAAGTGTCTGCATGTCATCTTGACGGTTGGTGATAAAGTGGGAAACACTTGCCATAAATTTTATAATTTTTTAATTTCTTTTTCTCTTCCTCCTCCATCTCCTCCTCCTTCTTCTTATTTATCTTTGCCCTCTTCATCTTTATCTACATCATCTTTGTCATCTTCATCATTTTTGTATTTATCTTCATTGACTTTGTCTTCTTCTTTTTCTTCTTTTTTTTTTTTCTTTTTTTTTTCTGCTTCTTCTTCTTTTCTTTGTCTTAAAAGGTTCTTTTTCTTCTTTTTCTTCTTTTTCTCCGCCTCCTCTTTTTTTTTTTTTTTTTTTTTTCAAGTATTCATCCTTAAAAGGTTCACTGCCCTATTATGTTGTGGTTCAAATCTAGGCTGTGAAGTCTGTGCCTTTCCGCTTGCTACATCTGATTTTAGCAAACCTAATTATTAGTCAGCTTTTAAAACTTGTTAAGGCCAACTTGGTTAATTCCCTTCCCCCCCCCTTTTTCTAAGTGTGACCCCTGAACCCACACTGGAAGATATATTATACTGAAGCAATGTTGAAGAGCTCTGCACACGTCCATAGGTGATCTGTCTCTCTCAGACAAGACTGAAAAGTATAAAAGTAAACAAGGAAAGGTTGAAACTCCAGTTGATACCTTAACTCTTTCATTCATAAACAATGCACCATGTGTACTAGATTTCACTCTTGTGCACCAGTCAACATGTTTTGTATCTGTGTGCATCTTAAGTTGGGGAAAACTAACTCAGTCACTGACAATGTGCTTTGTATTTGGAGCCTATGAATGCAGTATACCCATTTTGTTGTTGTTGCCATCAATCATTATTGCTTCACTCAGGCAGCCACTATGATCTTCTGGGACTGCAATAGTTCAGGTTTATTAAGCAAATGGGGCTAGCCCAGTATTTCAGACCATTGGCACTTGATGGTGATATGGTCAGAATCACAGCAGCAGCCTAGAGAGCAGAAATCCAACCTGGCATTTCAGTGTAAATCTCTATAAGTTTGGCCGCTGTATTTTAAAGAACAAAAAAATGTATGGGTGGAAAGGGGAGGGGAAGGGGGTGGGGGGAATTACACCCTCTGCTCCTTAACAAGAATGTATGGGTGGAAAGGGAGGGGAGGGGGGTGGGGGGGTGGGGGGAATTACACCCGCTGCTCCTTAACAAGAATGTAAAGGGGAGGGGGAGGGGGGGGGGGGGAATTACACCCGCTGCTCCTTAACAAGAATGTATGGGTGGAAAGGGGAGGGGGAGGGGGTGGGGGGAATTACACCTCTGCTCCTTAACAAATGTATCGGTGGAAAGGGGAGGGGGGGGGGGGGGGGGGGAAATACACCCGCTGCTCCTTAACAAGAATGTATGGGTGGAAAGGGGAGGGGAGGGGGTGGGGGGAATTACACCCGCTGCTCCTTAACAAGAATGTATGGGTGGAAAGGGGAGGGGGAGGGGGTGGGGGGAATTACACCCGCTGCTCCTTAACAAGAATGTATGGGTGGAAAGGGGAGGGGGGATGGGGTGGGGGGAATTACACCCGCTGCTCCTTAACAAGAATGTATGGGTGGAAAGGGGAGGGGGGAGGGGGTGGGGGGAATTACACCCGCTGCTCCTTAACAAGAATGTATGGGTGGAAAGGGGAGGGGGAGGGGGTGGGGGATTACACCCGCTGCTCCTTAACAAGAATGTATGGGTGGAAAGGGGAGGGGGAGGGGGGGGGGGGGAATTACACCCGCTGCTCCTTAACAAGAATGTATGGGTGGAAAGGGGAGGGGGAGGGGGTGGGGTGAATTACACCCGCTGCTGCTCCTTAACAAGAATGTATGGGTGGAAAGGGGGAGGGGGAGGGGGTGGGGGGAATTACACCCGCTGCTCCTTAACAAGAATGTTTGGGTGGAAAGGGGAGGGGGGGGTGTGGGGGGAATTACACCCACTGCTCAACAAGAATGTATGGGTGGAGAAAGGGGAGGGGGGGGTGGGGGGGAATTACACCCGCTGCTCCTTAACAAGAATGTATGGGTGGAGAAAGGGGAGGGAAAGGGGGTGGGGGGAATTACACCCGCTGCTCCTTAACAAGAATGTTTTAATAGGTGACTTTTTAAGGATTTGCTGAAATTCAATTAATTGGGTTTAGGGGGGGGGGGGGGGAAGTGAAGGAGAATGTGGAGAAGATAAACAAGAAAGAAAAGGAGAAGACTTTAAACATGCACTAGCATGTTCTGGTCAGGTCTTCCAACTTGTGCTAAATCCAAATATATATATGTCAACCAAACATACAAGAGATTTATTTGTTGGGGAAAGGGGGAAACTTTTATAATGGCTTCCATTATTTTTTTTTTAGTGATTATATTTTTTCTCTTTAAAGAAATGTTTATATTTTGTTTTATTTCTTCTTCTGCCCCATCCTGTTCTTGATTGCCTTCACCCTCAATAATGTCTCTGCCTAATTTTCATTTTCTGCCTTTTCTTTAGAACTGTTCTTCACTTTTTTTATTCCTCTTCTACTTTCCTTTTTGTCTTTCCTTCTCTTTTCTGTCCTTTAACCTGTGCATGATTTAGTGCATTGGCCTGACAATTGTGGGATAACCCATCTGGTGTGAAGAACTGATGAACTGTTCCAACCAGCTTTCATATCTTCCTTTTCTTATAGTCCACAACCTTCTGTCTCATGTGCTTTCAATCAGTTCTGACACAAATGATCTTCCATAGTCAATGCTGTGGCGTTGGTAGTCATTTCTATCCACAACCTTCTGTCTCATGTGCTTTCAATAAATTCTGACACAGATGATCTTCCATATGCCATGCCATATGGCGTTAGTAGTCATATCTGTCCACAACCTTCTGTCTCATGTACTTTCAATCAGTTCTGACACAGATGATCTATCATATGCCATGCCGTATGGCGTTGGTAGTCATATCTATCCACAATCTTTTTTCTCATGTACTTTCAGTCAGTTCTGACACAGATGATCTTCCATAGTCTGTGTGATGTGGCATTGGTAGTCATGTCTATCCACAGCCTTCTTTCCCCACTACTTTCAGTAAGCTCTGACACATGTGATCTTCTGTAGTCCATGTGTCTTCTTTGTACTTTCAGTTAGTTATAAAATACTTCATCTGGTAGGAACCTGCATGATACAACAAATGCAACCAGACTGTTATCTGGCTACAGAATGCAAATCAAAATTTCATAACATCACTACAAATCTCATCTCATATTTACTGTTACCTGTGAAGGATGATGTTTTGCTATCTTAGGGCAATCAGGAGAACCGTGTTGTTGTCTATGACATGAAAGTGATCGACTACATCAACTTCATTCTCAGAGCTGGAGAAATAGGAGACTGTCCCATTGAGAAGGTCAGTTAAGGGTATTAACTGTTTTAAACTTTTTCACTCCTAACCAACAAGTAGTGTGTGCTGACATCATACTAGTCAGTTACAGCCAGCAGAGTGGCAATCATTATTTCAGAAGTCCCGGGTAGTTAGCATTGTTTGGATATTTTCACTAGGTGATGCCGGTGTGTTGGGAAATGAGCAGGCAGATAGACTGGCCAGTTCTGCACCACTTGGTGGTGAACTGATGTATGACAAGCTGGATGTTGTGAGGGCCCTTTTGGAGCAAGTGAACCGAGCCGAGGAACAGATAGATCATTGCCGTCTGAGGAGAATGGCACTGTGAGGAGTTACAAGGGGACGCTTTACACTCGGGGAAAGGCGAGATGGATATGCAGTCAGACATATACTGGTACTGTCACAATTTTAACTCTTTGCTTGCTGCTGGAGATGGGGATGGGGCACTTATAGGGGTGCCCCAAGTTCTGTGATGTCGATTCATGATTCAACATTCAACATTTGAAAACATAGATGTATAATTAATGTTCACATTAAAAATGATATAAGTAAATAATGGACCCTTTACATATGTCTTTCTGTGTTTTCAAGTGTTAGGCTAAGATCTGACCCCACAGCACTCGGTACATTCCCAAAATCACTTAGGCTTCATCTTCAGTCAGTGTCTATGGCTTGGGCATTGGGAACTTGTTTTGTAATTCCATGATGCTGGGTTCAATCCCAGCCATAGGCAATTTTGCAGCCGACCATCTTGCACTAGTTTTGACAGTGGTCTCTAGAGCTGACCGTTCAGTAAGCAGTGGCAAACTACTCAATGTAGAATTACCTAATGAAATCATACAGCCAAGAAAAACTGTGCTGGTGTTGGTTCTGCAGCGTCCTCTAAAGGATACACAACTAACTTCATCTTCAGCAGCTAACGAAGAGTTCCAGTTCCAATTGTGCCAACAGCAATTTGATTATGTGTTCATCTTGCCTTTCCTCTGAGTGTAGAGTGTTGATCAGAAGCCCTGGTCACTCTTAGCTCTACCATTCTCTTCAGACCTTAATGATTTGTTCATGCCTCTGCAAAGTTCACTTGCTCCTAAAAGGCCTTGACCACATCTAGATAGTTATGTATAAAATCAATACCCATTTGTGTAGAACCAGTCAATCTGTCTGCCTCTTTATTTCCTGATACTCATACATGCCAGTAAGAAAATATCCAGTCCAAAGAGCATTAACTATCCTTTGATATGATGTTGGCAACATTCCTTTGATGAGTTTGGCGTATATTGCTAGACCTGTACATTTGTAAACCGAGCAGCACTCGAAGGGTTATTCAATCACATTATGCTGGCCGCATATACTTCCCTGGACATTACCTGGTACTCAATTTAGTCCAGACATGGAGCAAAAAATGCTGTTCTCAGTGTACCAGCATTTAATATTTCTGTGATGGATTATGTTTTGGGGTGCTCACCATATTGAAGTCAGCTGGTGAAGCTTGAACCAATAAAGCCATGAAGGGGAATTCTAGGATATTCAAGAGACACCTCAGTAGTCTGTATGCAATACATCCTTGCACTACAAAGTCATGAGGGGGATTCTAGGATGTTCAAGAGACACCTCAGTAGTCTGTATGCAATACATCCTTGCACTACCGTCTGTTGCAGACAGGCTCAAGGTGCTGCAAGCCAGGTAAGGTCTCAGGCTAACCGCTGACAAACACCACATTCTTCTTGAAGCCCTGAATACAGCTGATGGTCACAGGTTGAAGTCTTGGATGGCACAAGCAGAAGGCACAATTAGAGATGTGTGTGCGTTGGAAAACAATTGTGAGGAGAGGAGTGGATCAGAGTTTCAAAGCAAAAGCAGACTTGTGTACGGTTCTAAGCACAATTGACTGGGAGTGCAGGAATTGGCCAGAAAGCCCTGCAGAATCAGAAATCCAAGAATTTATTCATGGTAATTCTCATCCAAGTGATGTGACTATACAGATGGCTCTATGTTGATAGGCAGAAGAAATGTGTTGGGGTTCATTACAAAAGCAAATGGACAGCGCTTAATGCAGTAAAGTTTAGCATATGATACTGCAACATCTAGTTTGAGAATGGAGGTAAAGGCAGTCTAAGTAGCTTTCCATCAGTTTTAAAACCATGCAATATGCAGAGTAGCACACATTCCTTCAGAGGTCCCAGTTATTAAGTGTTATTTGGATATTTTCTCCAGGGCATACAGGAGTGTTAGGAAATGAACAGGCAGATCGAGTGCTTCTGCACCAGTGGTTGGTTAATTTATGCATACCAGAGCTAGATATGGTCAAAACCCTTTGGGAGCAAGTTAACAATCCAGAGGCATGAGCAGATAGACCATTGTGGTATTGATAGAATGGTGTAGTGTCCAGGGGATTTGGCCAGTACTGTACACTCGGAGAAAAAAACTAGATGGACATATAATAAAACCTCTACTGGCACCACTGGAATTGAAACTTATTGTTGGCTGCTGAAGGTGAGGATGGAGCTATTATTGAAATGCCCTGTGCATGCTGTGATGACAGTTCTTAGCTTAACTCCTTGAGTCCCAAGGAACGCATCATATGTCCGTAGGTTCCTACGTAGAAGCCCAGTAAACGCATGATGTGCCGATTTTATGACTCTGTTTACTACCCCCTGGGACTGTGATGCTAAACCCCCTGGGACTGTGATGCTAAACCCCCTGGGACTGTGATGCTAAACCCCCTGGGCCTGTGATGCTAAACCCCCTGGGCCTGTGATGCTAAACCCCCTGGGCCTGTGATGCTAAACCCCCTGGGCCTGTGATGCTAAACCCCCTGGGACTGTGATGCTAAACCCCCTGGGACTGTGATGCTAAACCCCCTGGGCCTGTGATGCTAAACCCCCTGGGACTGTGATGCTAAACCCCCTGGGCCTATGATGCTAAACCCCTGGGACTGTGATGCTAAACCCCCTGGGACTGTGATGCTAAACCCCCTGGGACTGTGATGCTAAACCCCCTGGGACTGTGATGATAAACCCCTGGGACTGGGATGCTAAACCCCCTGGGACTGTGATGCTAAACCCCCTGGGCCTGTGATGATAAACCCCCTGGGCCTGTGATGATAAACCCCCTGGGCCTGTGATGATAAACCCCCTGGGACTGTGATGATAAACCCCCTGGGACTGTGATGCTAAACCCCCTGGGCCTGTGATGCTAAATCCCCTGGGACTGTGATGCTAAACCCCCTGGGACTCAAAGAGTTAACATTCAACACTTAATTTAGTCTGGGTTGACCTGAATCATATTTTGCTCTAGTGTTGATGATAACATATTGTTGTTCCTTTAATGATCGTACATTGTTGTATCATTTTGTATTGACATCAGGTGGTAGAGTTGCAGCAGACTATAGGCTCTCTGATCATCTCACTGATAGAAGAGAATGGACCCCAAGCATCCCAGGTGGCTAAGGTGAGCTCATTCTGCTCGACGTATTTAACTCCTTTTAAAGTTAAAGTTTAGAGAACATCATATAATTTATAGGTAAAGTAAAGTAAAGATCCCTTTTCATGCCTTAGGCGCATCGGGCATATGGGAAGAGTGCCCCATATTTTCACAGACCAATCGGCACTGGATGGGTAATGTGGTCAGCATTACGCCGGCTGTCTTTACTTTCCCAGGACAGCCATCCTGGTACCCATTTTAGGCTGGGTCAACCTGCCCCATACCATGATAAAAATCCATGCAGCCAGCAGTGGATTTCGATTGCGGTACATTGGAATTATACTTAAGATAAAAGAACAGCTTGATTATTGTACACTTTAATGTTAACGAGAACACTGATACACATGCTGGGTTCATGGACATGCATGATCATACTGGACCTTCATTCACAGATGAAATTCCACAGGTTTCACATCTTCTTCTTCTTCTTTTGTCAAAATCTGCTTGTGCCGCTAGGCGTCGCAGTCTATCAGATGATCGGCAACCGAGCCAGGGCGCGCTCAGTCGCTTCATATGCCGTGATGTTATGAAGTCTCAAGTTGTCCGTGACTCCTTCAATCCATCTTCTTCTTGGTCTTCCCCTGCCTCTTGTTGTTTCGATTTTCATGTTGTATGCTCTTGATGCTGGCATCGTTGGTTCCATTCTCATTAGGTGACCAAACCATTTCATTCTTTGCTTCTCAATAAATTTAACGATGGGTATGATGCACTTACTGGGATTGAAAGAGTTAGAGAAAGGGGGGTTAAATCAGAGAGACCAGAGACTAGCATTTGCAATAAAGAGTAAGATGATGAAACTGATATAAAAAAATTAAAATAAAAATATTAAATAAACTATACTAAATATTAAAATATTAAAGAAACTTAAGGACCCCATTTCCCTACATGACAACCTGTATTGGATATATGGTGCTGACACCATGTTTGTTCTTCTATGTTTGCCCTTAAATCTTTCAGTCCCAAGGAACACACATCATAGGTCCCCACCTAGAAGCCCAGTGAATGCAAGATGGGCCCATTTTACTATTCTCTTGACCATCCCTTGGGCCTCTGATGCTAACCCTCTGGAACTCAATGAGTTAAAAAGTTGCTGTCACATTGTGTTGAGTTTGTATTTAGGTTTTGATAAATGGACCTTTTGGCCCAACATATCAAATTTAACCCCCCCCCCCCCCCCTTTTACAGGATGTCGCAGAACTAAACCCAGCATTTGTTGACTGTTTGTGATTTCACTAGGCAGTAGTTTGCCACTGCTTTCGGTATAGTCAGCTCACAATACCACAGTGGAAACCAACACAAAGCGATCTGCTACCAAATCCCCCACATCCGGGATTTAACCCAGCACCTGCAAATTGGGAAGCACATTTGCAGTGCCTAAGCCACAGATGCCAGCTTTCCATATTTAGCAAAATCTTCATTAGCTGATTTTTTACAACTAGCTTTATAGGGAGCAGTGAGTCGATTCTTTTTCCCCCTCAAAATATGAGCCTAAAATCCACATGGGAAATTTAGACCAATCATGGTTCAAGATGCTGTCAAAATCAAACCAGCAGTCTTTACTTTCCAACAAATTGTCAAGCACCTGTTTTAAGTAAATGGTAAAGTGGAAGTTCTAATTAGTGAAAAAAATTATTTGAAAGCAACAGAGATGTGTTTTTTTTATCCACAAATTATGAGAACAGCTTGGACATATAAAAAGCATAAGGAAGATTTTCTTGAAAGAAACTGATTCACAAAGAAAACTGATTGCCCACATCAGAAGAAGAAGAAGGCATTCTTTGATAATTTCCTGACAAGAAGAATACAGGAGTACATGGTGATGGTTGGAAAGCTGGAGGGGAAAAGAGGCAGATGCAGACAAAGAAAGAAGATACTGAATATTTTGATATCATAGCATAAAAATTCATTTGTGAGGGACTGAATGTACATGAAACAGAAGGTTGTGAATAGATATGACTACCAAAGCCACATTGCATGAACTATAAGAAAAAAAATAGAAGTAACATATCAGTTTAAAAAAAAAATAGCTGACCACCTTGAGGGAATTAAACAAAAGGAATAATACGTGACTGCTGACAAGAATATGAACATTAAAATAGCATTGTTAAGCACAATATTCTTACCAATGCTATCCTATCAGTGTCAGACATGGACATTGTTTTCAGAAGACAAAAGAAAAATAGTCACACCAGAAATGGCATGTTAACTGATCATGCTAGGTGTAACAAGGAAAGATCAACCTAATGCATACATCAAGTTTTATTGTCTTTTGTTAGGAGGTGAAAGATGCCCTTGACAAGGAGGCGGTGTTCAGATGTATGACCTCATTCTATGAATGGCACCAGTCGGACAAGAGGGACAGTGCCCAGTCACTGGGACTGACCGGCAGCTATCTCCAGTCTGCCAAGTCCATCGCTGCCTTCGGAGGATCTCTGATTCAAGGAGTTGTGGTCAGTTCTGTTTCTTGTTTAGCTTTAAATTCCACAGATCTGTATCATAAAATAAAAGTAGAGGACCACTTTGAAGGCCTTTGGCACATTGTGTATTTGCTATTAGACCCACATTTTTGTAGACTTATTGTCACTTAATGGATAGTATGGTCTCCTTTACTTCCCAGAACATTTTCTGGTATCAAGCGTAGGATTGTTCAACCTGAGTGTCAGCAAATCTTTTTGCTACTACAGTTTATTATGTGTGTTTCATTCCTTTTTTGTTCATGAACTCTTTGGAGGTTTAGGTTTGACTCTTTAAGAAACTTTTTAAAGTGAGGACGCATAATCAGTTTCATTTGTATTGAAATTATTGAGGCTTCAACTGATACTGATTTATTCCATAAATGATTTGATGTTTTTTTCACTTGTTAAAGTCACTACTTGTTATGTGTTGAAAGACTGATGCTTATTTACATATCTGTCAGTTATACGATCACAGCAATCACTAAGAAATCACACCCCACCACCTCATTAGTCTTGTGCTGTTAGGTTAGTTGTGTATTCTTTACAGGACGTTGCAGAACCAACCCCAGCAGCCCCTGGCTGTTGTGTGGTTTCTCTAGGCAAATTTACATTCAGTAGTTTGTCATTGCTTTCTGGACGGTCAGCCCCCTCATACCACTGTTGAAGCCAACGCAAGGCGCATGGCCCACAGCTTGGATCAAACCTAGTACTCCGGCATTATGAGTGCTGTTAGGATATGTTTAAATATGCAGACATAAAAAAAAGCTAAATATGTTGTACAGCCTTGGATCATGTCGCACATATTTTAATATAGGTATATAAAAATACTAACTCGTTTGCATCCACAGAAAGGAAAGAAAAAAAGTAAACTAAGAGAAAGCATCATTGAAGTAGGCTTCACCTTTTACCTCATCCTGGCTCGCATGATTGATATCGACCCTCACCTGAACGAAAGTAAGTAAGTAAGTGAGATGACTGCTGGAACTGTAGTACAGTCTTTGACCTACTTCAGCAGTTAGAAATGACTTCTTCAAGCAGTTGTGTAGGGTGATATGGGAGATCATGTTGTTTGCATAACTCTTGTGCTTTGTATCTAATTCATAAAATATTTCCCATGCTAAAAGATCAAGACTGTTTTGTCCTTTAAAAATGCCTAATTTGTCTACAAATGAAAATTGTGTTGTAAAAATTTTTTTCCATCTATTCTCTTACATTTACATTTTTTCAGGGGGCTGCCTGGTCTCAAGGCATGGTGTTTGCCTTGAGGGCTAGACCTCCTGGGTTTAATCCTCGGTAAGGGCTGGGATTTTTTCCCATGGACTTGGACTTCTAGTAATTTCCCCTGGTCCCTGGGAAGTGAGATCGGACACCCATGTGCATTGTTGCGCACGTAAAATATCCCTTGGCAGTTGGAAATCTAAACAGTAGCCTAACAGCGAAGCCCGGGCACAATTTAGAGTTTAAAATCTACCTAAAGTATTTTAGGATCCTTGCCAGTGCTACAGAGCCTGTGCACTGTGCTGAGCTTCTTCTGACTCAGACTTGAGTCAGAAGAGGAACGAAGCACTTATGGGTTACTACCCATGTGCAATTGTGTTGATCTGGTGTTCAAAACTTCAAACTTTAAACATTAAAATTTTTTCCCCATTAAGTGAAAAATAAGGTACAACACAATAAGAATATTTTGTTAACTTTTTTCTTATTTTAACAATGTCCTAAAATTAGTTACATTTTAATTTATTTCAAATTATACCGATTTCAATATTGTCTCATGAAATACCAGCCTATTGTGCAACATAATCAACAGTTCAGAAAACACTTTTGCAGACCTCAAACTGACACTAGAAAACAAATTGTGCCATATAGCAGACATTTCAAAAAACACTTGTGCAGGCTTCAAAATGACACCAGAAAAGATATTGTGCCATATAGCAGACATTTAAAATAACACTTTCTAGACCTGCTACAACAGAAAACATATTGTGCCATATAGCAGATATTTCAAATAACACTTTTGCAGGTCTTAAACTGACACCAGAAAAGATATTGTGCCATATAGCAAACTTTTCAAATAACACTTTTGCAGGCCTCAAACTGACACCAAAAAAGTGTTTGTGCCATATAGCAGACATTTCAAATAACACTTTCTAGACCTGCTACAACAGAAAACATATTGTGCCATATAGCAGACATTTCAAATAACACTTTTGCAGACCTCAAACTGACACCAGAAAACATATTGTGCCATATAGCAGACATTTCAAACAACACTTTTGCAGGCCTCAAACTGACACCAGAAAACATATTGTGCCATATAGCAAACTTTTTAAATAACACTTTTGCAGGCCTCAAACTGACACCAGAAAACATATTGTGCCATATAGCAGACTTTTCATATAACACTATTGCAGACCTCAAACTGACACTAGAAAACATATTGTACCATATAGCAGACATTTCAAATATCACTTTTGCAGGCCTCAAACTGACACCAGAAAAGATATTGTGCCATATAGCAGACTTTTCATATAACACTTTTGCAGACCTCAAACTGACACTAGAAAACATATTGTGCCATATAGCAAACTTTTCAAATAACACTTTTGCAGGCCTCAAACTGACACCAAAAAACATACTGTGTCATATAGCAAACTTTTCAAAAAACACTTTTGCAGGCCTCAAACTGACACCAGAAAACATCAAGGCATTTGAGTATTACAGGAAGAATTCTCTTTCTATTGAGATTGTAAAAGATGACATCCTACAGAAGGTCAACTTCCGCGTAAAGAATAAGGTAACAGTTTTCTTGCTTCCATCTAACATAACTATGCCAGTAAAAATGTTTCACTCCATCATAATAATTGGTGAATGAGGTACCTGGATGTAACCAGATTGTCTGGCCAGCTCACTACACTCAGAGGAAAGGCAAGATGGACATATAACCAGATTGTGACCCATACCATCAGTATTGGAACTCTGCACTAGCTGCTGAAATTGAGGACGGAGCATGCATGGTAATGCCCTGAGTGCTGTGATGTCAATTCTTGACTCACCTCAACTGAACTCATTAATTGTTGGATTAAGAACAGGACACTGATGATGCCTACACAATCCTCCCAGAGTCCCTGCCAGACCGTGCTTTAAACACCTGAGCACATACTGCAGAACTGCCCCCACAGCAAAACCTGCAAGAAAACACTTGGTAAGCGGGAAGTGATCCCCTGAGTCAGGACAGTCTGTGAGCAGACTTAACATATTTACATGTTTTATATACATATCAGCTGTGGGCCATGCTCCTTGCGTTGGTTTCGACAGTGGTATCCAGAAAGCAGACTGTCCAGAAAGCAATGGCAAACTACTGGAAGTAAATTTGCCTAGAAAAACCACACAACAGCCAGGGGCTGCACAACTAACCTAGATATACATATATATGTGTGTGTGTGTATATATACTTGTATGCATTTATATATATATATAATAATAAATAAACAGACAATGTATTGATCAGCAAAGAAAGAAGTAGAAAGATAGAAGGACACACTAGACAACATAAAAATCAAAAGCTATAGTTACTGTGCCCAGATCTGAACCTGTCACCTCCTCACTATGGAAACACGTGTACATGACCAACTAAGCACCCCTAAAAGGTTTCGCCTCTGCGTATTTACATGTGTATATGCCGCAGTATTTTAACTGAAAATTATTGAGGAAATCTAGAATGGGGCTTATATTTGAGATATTAGACTTTGTGTCGAGAGCAGTGATAACTAGCGTTACGGTACATGGCTGTTTTTCTTCTTCTGAAGTTTGCATGTGCTTGGTTCTTTCACCAGGAAGACTTCAAGAGTTTCACCTGGCAAATTGAGGAATACAAGAGTTTCATCTGCTTTCCTAGTTGCTCCCATGCTGTAATGTGTGTCTTCTGTAAATTCAGAACATCTCTTTGAAATAACATAGTTTCCCCTGGTAGGTGTTGATGTGCCATTGTTATTCCCTGCCAGATCATGAGTTCACTGCCTGTCATAAGTGCATTTTGTCCAGCCATAACTGACTGTAAATTCACTGTGAGGAATTTCCCATGACATCTGATAATTGATAGCTTCAAACTGTAACATTTTCACAGCTACATAAAATCTACCTACCCAAACTCTCTTGGCATATTCCAGCAGATTGGTTTCTGATCCCATGATATATCACATACTTGCCACAAAAAGATTGTAAACTTTGCAGAAGATTGTATACTTTGCAGAAGATTGTAAACTTTGCAGAAGACTGTATACTTTGCAAAAGATTGTAAACTTTGCAGAAGATTGTATACTTTGCAGAAGATTGTATACTTTGCAGAAGATTGTATACTTTGCAGAAGATTGTATACTTTGCAGATGATTGTATACTTTACAGAAGATTGTAAACTTTGCAGAAGATTGTATACTTTGTAGAAGATTGTAAACTTTGCAGAAGATTTTATACTTTGCAGAAGATTGTAAACTTTGCAGAAGATTGTAAACTTTGCAGAAGATTGTATACTTTGCAGAAGATTGTATACTTTGCAGAAGATTGTAAACTTTGCTGAAGATTGTATACTTTGCTGAAGATTGTATACTTTGCAGAAGATTGTATACTTTGCAGAAGATTGTAAACTTTGCAGAAGATTGTATACTTTGCAGAAGATTGTATACTTTGCAGAAGATTGTATACTTTGCAGAAGATTGTATACTTTGCAGAAGATTGTATACTTTGCAGAAGATTGTATACTTTGCAGAAGATTGTATACTTTTCAGAAGATTGTATACTTTGCAGAAGATTGTATACTTTGCAGAAGATTGTATACTTTGCAGTGTTTCATCAAAAGCATCTTTCATACAAATACATTTTTCTCATCTACATTCAACTTTCCCTCAGCTCCTCAGTTTAAATGTTCTTGCATATAATGCACTAGTTACAGCTGAAATGTACAACTGTAACTTGCTCTCACGGAGCCTATATTTTCCCACATGAGGGTACTACTGTTTCAGTTTTGTTCTGTCAACAGTATTCTAATAAAATAATTTTTCTCTAAAATTATCATCTCAGAAACTGGAGAGAGAGAGAGAGAGAGAGGAGAGAGAGAGAGAGAGAGGGAGAGAGAGAAGGGGGGGGGGGGTGGTGGCGTATTCACACATAAATTTGATAATTCATCCAATAGTATATAGCATTTGCCCCTGAATAGACCAAGAGCAGTTCATAAGTAAATTACAACTGTCTATGAAGGGACTTTACTCATTCATGAATGGATCAATTTTGTCCAAGAACGGACCAGATTTGTCCATGAATATACACCTTAGATGCCTTTGAATAAATCTTCATCCCTGTTTAATTCACTTCTTGATTTATTACATACAAGTATGATTCCTTGTACCCTTATTATTTTGTGCACTTTTGTTCCAATCATTAGAGTGTTTTGAGAGAAGAGGTCAAAGAGAAACTCAAGTGGAATGTAGACAGAACTTCACCCAGTAACAAAATCCGGGATCTGATGGACTGGACAAGGGATGTGATGAGGGATATATCTTATCAACGAATGATCCTGGACCATCCTATCTCCAAATTCTTTACAAAAGGATGGTAAGTTGAATGGTGTAACCCAGTGTCGTGGTTTTCTGTATTTGTCTGTGCTTCTCGGTTAGCTTGGGTTGTGGATTTGTTCATCTTTTTGCAGGTTTCAGCTACACCACTTATCCATCTCTTTCTTGGTCTTCCCCTTGCCTTATTCCCAGATGTTCTACTGTAAAATGTATCATAAACAGTTTGGTCAGGCTACATCCTCACTAGACGCAGAACTATTTCATTCTCGTCTGATTTCATTCTTGTCTGTCAATATTTTTCAGACACTGTCTCGCTTCAACCTTTTCTCTTATACTAAGGGCAGCTGCATGGTCTCGAGGAATGGTGTATGCCTTGAGTGTTAGAGGTTCCCGGTTCAATTCCCAGTAAGGACTGGGATTTTTTCACGTGGACTTGCACCTCTAGTAATTTTCTGTGGTCTCTGGGTGGTGAGATCGGATGCCCATGTGCATTGTTGTGCACGTAAAAAAATTAGGCTCTCCTGTCAACTTAGGCTGTTAGCTGGACTGCCGCCAATCGCTTAGTGGGAGTTCTCTCCCTTGGCTGGGTTGCGAACACGGAGCAGAAAAGTCATGAATCAAATGACATACTTAGCTATCATCATACGGCTGCGTGTAAGGTTGCGTAGTCATCATACGGTTACCTATCATTATACGGTTGCGTGTGCGGTTGTGTAGTCATCATACGGTCATCATAGGGTTGGGGTTAGGGTTAGGGATAGGGTTAGCGGCGTTAGGGGTTGGGTTACGGTTAGGGTTAGGGTTTGGGTTAGGGTTAGGGTTAGGGTTAGTGTTAGGGTTAGTGTTAGGATTAGGGTTAGGATTATGGTTAGGGGTAGGGTTAGGGGTAGGGTTAGGGGTAGAGTTAGATGTGACAATTTTGACGTAGGAGTTCCAAATACTGGCCGACAATCTGATGCTTGTGGGAGTGGCGCCACTGGAATTCTCCCAAATATGACGGCAATAGCGCGCGGCTGGTGTCCCATCGGTGGCGAATTGTCCGTTTGAGTAGCATCCACAGTCCTTCGATTGTTTGGTGGGTGTGTATGTGACTGTGCGTGATTTTTTGGAACTCCTGCGTCAAAATTGTCACATCTAACCCTAATCCTAACCCTAATCCTAACCCTAACCCTTACCCTTACCCTACCGCTACCGCTACCCCTAACCCTACCCCTAACCACGCAAATTTATCGGCGGTCATTAAGTCATACAGATCTGCAGGAGTCACATCCGTGGCAACTAATACCACTGTTATATAAGGATATATTTGCTTTAAAAAAAAAACCAGATTTCCCCGAAGCGTCAAATAAACAGCCAGATCTGGGGGAAAGACCCAAGCATTGGCAGCCCTGTTGTCGACCTCACTGCCTTTTTTGATTCGTAACTTTTCCGCTCCGTGTTCGCAATCCAGCCAAGGGAGAGAACTCCCACTAAGCGATCGGCGGCTTTCCAGCTAACGGCCTAAGTTGACAGGAGAGCCAAAAATTCCTTTGCAGAAATCAAAATGAGTATCTTTTGTGCTGCCTGAGCAAAATTTTTAGTTAAAAATCTACCCATAGTTTTTCAGGATCCTTGCCGGTGCTACTGAGCAGAGCTTCTTCAGACTCAGACTTTAGTTAGAAGAAGAACAGGGCACTTTTGGGTGCCATGATGTTGATCCATTGTTCAAACCTCGAACCTCTAATACTGTTATTAGTGCTGTGTCCCTTCTTGTGTTGTAAGTGACCTTACAGAGACAGCGCATTTTCAGATAGTTATTTTCTATTATATTTCCCTATTCATTGTTCACCTATAATTCAGTATTCTTTCTTGTGGACTAGCAATTTGCTGTTAACCTGTTGAAAGGTGTGTGAATGAAATGATATGCAAAAGGAGGGAGATTGGAAGGGTATAATGTTCAATGGGCTTGTGTGCCCAATTTTTTACTCTTTTACAATAGTTTCTTCATTTGTTTGTTCTTACAATTTCTCTGCCAGTGATGAAATGTTAACTCATTATTGTTTTGCTTCAGGCCTGTTGTAACAAACAGCACAAAGTTGTAAAACACACAGAATGTACTTATTATTATTAGTGTTGATATGTAAATCAGCATGAATAACATAGCCCCTCTGGGTTGTGAAATGATGCGTAAAAGGCTAGATGTTGGCAAGTACCTTTTGGGAGCAGGTGAGGAATGTGGAACTGTAAAAGGGATTACAGTGTGAAGTTAGTGGTGCAGCAGGGAGTGACCAGGGGAGGATCTGGTCAAAACCGTGCTCAAAGGAAAGGCAAGATGGAAAAATAATGAAGCTGGTACCATAGCACTGGAACTCTTTCCTGGCTGCTGAAGATAAGGACATAGCACATATTGGAAAGTTTTGAGTGCTATGATGTTGTTAAGTTGAAGCCAGCTCCTTTCACATAACTTACTGTTAAAAAAATCATCATCATCATCATCATCAATCAGCAAGTCCTTTACAGAACGTCGCTCTCTTCACGGCACGCCTGAAAGTATCCCTTTCCCTAGCCATTTCTCCAGCCCCATATGCTTTCAATGTCAATGCATCTTCAATTTCCTGTATCCATCTTTGTGGTGGTCAACCCCTGCCTCGCCTTCCACAAACTGTACCCTCCATCACCGTCTTGTCCAAGCCACCATGACGTTCGATGTGGCCAAAATACTTCACTTTTCGGGACAGAATGCTGTTTATTAAAAATCATCACTGAAGCTTATTCTGGAAATGTATCACCTAAACAAAATTAAATAACAAGAAATCAACAATATATCTGTCAGTGTTTACATGTTCCTGACTTCACAAATTCAGTCTCGAGGTTGTCCTTTTATCCCCAGGCTGCTGTGGAATTACGGAACAATTGTGCTAAGTCTGGCCATCAACATTATTATGCTCATTACATGGAATGCTAAAGCTGTCATAGAAGATTGCAAGAAAGCAGAAGACAATAACGGAACCTTTGTGTGTCCAGAACTGTATGAGTAAGTGCTGCCTCATTGTAAAGCCACTCATCTGACCTTTCTGTTATTTTAGTCTTTTTCTGTCTCTCCTTTTATTTATTTTAAAAAAAATATTTTTGGGGGGGCATTTAGACCAATTTATACTTCGAATAGAGATATGTAATTTAATAATTAGTTAATGTGTGTTATGACAGTTTTTTGATAGTGAAGTATACTAGATATAATAATGTGTCAAATATTGTCATAGGAATATAGTCTTAGGGATTTGATACTTGTAGAATTGGTAAAGCAAAAATTGGACTAGACTAAGTTAATGTAACAATTAGACAGGCCACCAGGAATTCAAAAAGTATATCACATCCGCTGAAACTGACAAAAGCATGAGTGGTACTGAATGACTGAATCCTTGGACCCTGAGAAACCACAAACCAAGCATCTCCGCTTGTTACAAATCTCAGACATTGGCTTAACCAGTATCCCTGCACTGGCAAATCCCTGACAAGCTTTTTAATGGCATTGGTTTTGTTTGCATCTGTGCAGTGTTTAGGAGCCCTAGATACATTTTTGTTTACTAAAAACAGTACTGTATGCTGTGTGTGTAAAAAAAAAAGGGGGGGGGGGGGTGGGCGGAGGGTGTGAGAAAATAATTACTTTTTAAAGATGTGATAACTCTATAATTCCCATTTAGACTTTAACGGGAGTTTACTGGTCTCAAGGCATGGCATCCGTCTCAAGTGCTGGACGCCCTGGTGAAGGCAGGAATTTTTTCACGTGGACTTCTAGTAATTCCCCCCGGTCTCTGGGTAGTGAGATCGGATGCCCATGTGTTTTGTTGCGCACGTTAGAAATCTCTTGGCAGTTCGAAATTGAAAAGAGTAAACTAACGACCCTGCCCGGACGAAGATTTTGAGTTTAAAATCTACCAAAAGTATTTCAGGATCCTCACCAGTGCTATAGAGTTTCTGCACTGCGCTAAAATGCTTTGAACTCAGGCTTGAGTTAGAAGTAGAAAGGGGGTCTTATGGGTTACTACTCTTGTGCCATCATGTTTATCCTTTGCCTAGACTTTAACAGAAATCAAAGATCACGACCTTTTCAGGCCTTAGTGAAAGAAGTCATTTTACCTTTGCTTTTTCTATGTGTAATCATTACTCCCCATCATTTATTTATTTAAACATTTTCAAAAACATTAAAGAAAAAAAAAAGTTTATTTAATTTATTAGTGACTTATGTTTTCCTAACAATTCATTTTCCTGGCTTGGTGGATCATCAAAGGGTTAATGGGGCAAAAGAGTTAAAGTGGAATTAGCATTGTGAGCTTCTATTTCTTCTGTTTACAGTCCGATTCCGGTGGTAAAGAAATTTCCCCAGGAGGAGTACCGCATTACCATGTGGGTGTTGAGTGGTGTACACAACGCATTTTCGTTATTTGTGCTCATCAGTTACTTCCTATCATACCACCCCCGGCTTCCAAGGGCATCAGAGATGAAAAACTGGTTTTTGTAAGTGCCGTCATCATTGTTGTTTTCATCATCATTGTTATTACCATCATTATTATTATCATCTTTGCTTTTATCTTCATCATTATTATCATCATTGTTATTGTCTTTGTTATTATTATTATCATTGTTTTTTCCATCATCATTATCATCATAATTGTTATTATCATCATTGTTATTATCAAAATCATCATTAGCATTATCCTCATCGCCATTATCATTATTGTTATCTTCATAATTATTATTATTATTATCATCTTTGTTATCATCATCGTTATTATCATCACCATTAATATCATCCGTGTTATTATCATCTTTGTTATTATCATTATCAATATTATCACCATTGCTATTATCATCATCGTTATTATTATAATCTTTGTTACTATTTTCATTATTATCACCATCATCCTTATTATCATTGTTACTATCATCCCTGTTATTATAATCATTGTTATTGTCTCCATTATTATTACCATCATCATAATTATCATTGTTATTAACATTGTTATTATCATCATCATCATTATTATCATTATTATCATTATTTTTATTATCATCATTGTTATTATTATCATTGTTACTATCATCAGCATAATAATTTTTTTGTTTGTTAAAGTATATCACATCAGCTGAAACAAACAAATGTATGAATAATTGCTTGATACTGAATGACTGTATCCTTTGACCTTGAGAAACCACAAACCCAGTGTCTCTGCTTGTTAAAAAGCCCTGAGAATCAGTATTTCTGCACTAGCAAATCCCCGACAAGCTTTTTAATGGCCATAGTTTCGTTTGCATCTGTGCAGTGTTTAGAAGCCCTAGAGATATTGTGCTTTCATAGCCAATGCTTCCTAAATGTCTTGTATAACCTTCATGGAAGTCTGCCTCTGCCTCTGCCTCTGCCTCTGCCTCGTTTTATGGAAACTGTACCCTCCGGTACTGCTCTCTCCAGGCCATCATGGCGTTTAACGTGGCCACAATACATCAACTTTCAGGACAGGATGTTGTTTATGAGCTAATTCTTCTTGATGCCCAAATTGTATAGGATGTTCAGGGCCGTGTTAGCGCAGTCGATAAGAGGCTCGCTTTCAAATCCAACTGAGACTCGCTTCAGTCACGGTCGGTGTTCGAAACCGGATGGTTCCCGGGGTTAACCCAGCCTCTAGAAACTCGACACTCTGGGGTAAATGGAGGAACGTCGCTGTAGCTACAGAGTTAGGTGCGAACGGTGACACAGGCGGACAGTTTCTTATCAGCTGTCCGTACTGGTGGCAGAGCACTTATGGTTTATAACTGTGTGCAATGACGCTGGTTCACATCTCCCGACTTTACATTTACCTTTAGGATGTTAGTGTTTTCTTTCTCTATCAAAAACCTAAATCATAGCTATGACAAGTGTGATGTTAATAAAAAATATACATTTTGATCCACACAATAAAGAGTTAGTCTATAAACACAAATGTTGTTTAGCAATCAACTCTAATTGACAGAAAATTGTGTGGCAACTCCAAGTCAGACAATGACCAGGAAGAAACAAAGGAGGAGGAACCACTGTCAAAGCTCAATACAAGATTCTTCAGTTTCACAACATTCTATTACTTGGTACGTTCATTATCACTATTATTATCATTATCATCTTTATCATAATAACCAAAACAATAACATCCTCATATATGTCATCCCTGTCTTCTTCATTTGTCTCACTGCTTATGTCCTTATGCATAGCAGAGAGGAGTTATTTGTAGTTTCCTGTCTTTTTCTAGTTGCGTAGCTTGTGTTAATGTCATAATGCATTTCTATAGTGTCACTTTTACTCCCTCCACCCATTTCTTTCTTGGTCAACCTCTTACCTTCTCATGTAGTACACTACAGCTGCAAAATCTCAGCCCTATTTACTCCCTTTTTTGTTTTTATGAAATAAAAATGTGAAAATTAAAATCAGTACATTCAACAAAATAGGAAATAATAATGACCTGTTTAAGAATATGAATAGTGCCCTGTTAAAAAAAATTGTTAAGTGATCTGTGTATAATGTAAAATGTTTTTTTTTTAAAGGATTTTTTGTTTTAAGGAATTCCCGATTACATAGCTTTTTCTTTTGTCAAAGGTTTATGGGGTGAACTTTTATGTGTGGAAGGGAAATGACAGAAAACAAAACTTTGGGAGAGCTATGGTGAGAATAATATTCTGCAAATTATCTACTAAATGATGGCTATGAGTAGTGCTCTGTGAAGCTTTTGATATTTGTATCATTTTGTAGTAATTTTGTTTTTGTTTTGTTGTGTGAGTAGATCTGAACCTATTGTGTGATTTTGGTATCTATTTCAGATATTTCTTGGGATGTCAATAGCAGGCACTTTGTTCCACAGTTACTTCTTTGCTTTCCATCTCTTGAACATTGTCAACAACAACCAGCTTCTGGGTGGGGTCATCAAGGCGGTCACACAGAATGGTCAGAATGTATTTGACTCATTATCTTGTTCAGTTCAACTATCTCCTTCTTTCACTTCCTCCTCCTCTCTTTTTCTACTTTGTCCTCCTCATTCTTTCTATACTTTTTCCTTCTTTCTTTTAATTCTTCATCCGCTTCCTCCTTCTTTATTATCTTCTTCTTCTTCTTTTTCTTCTTCTTCTTCTGTAAATGTGTGAAATGCATGATAAATTATTATAAATGCTAGTGCATTTTTCACATTTGACAACAATTCAACTTCATAGATATAAAAATTACTGACATCCGTGATATTTATATATTGCTACAGGTAAGAATTAATTATTTTTGTCGGTTGATGTTACAGTAATTTTATAGTTTTTATTAAAAAATGGTTAAAATGACATTGTGATTATACTGATGTGATTACTGTGAAATAAAAAAAAAAATGAAAATAAAAAATATTTTTTGATTTTTTAAAAAACTTTTAGCCATCCTATGTTTAATTTACTTCTTTGGCTGGTATATCAACCCATCTATTTAAAATCTTTGACCCTTCTTGTTAAATACTTCATTTGGACTAAAATCTCCATTATTTTGAAGAGACTAAAATTGAAATAAAAAGATGAAAGTGCATCATCTGCCTGGTAAGAGGGGGAGTACTATCTGTATTTGTGCAAGATATTTTAGTCTTGAAGCTCATAGTTTTCTCATGAAGTAACCGAGTGTTATTTGTGTGTCACCAGGTATGTCCTTACTCTGGGTCGCTGTCCTGGGGTTCGTCGTCATATACATCTATGCACTGATTGGTTTTGCCTTACTACGGGCCAGCTTTGAAGTTAAAGACAACCTGTACTGTGCCACACTATGGCAGTGTACGGTTACTGTTATACGATATGGCCTTATAGGGGATATGTTTCAGGTACGTATATTTACCATAGAAATCCATGTCACTGGCGATTAGAATAAGAATTCTCTCATGCTCTCTAGGGGTCGCCATGGTGAAGTGGTAAGCCATTTCATGAATTCATTTCACAGCTATGCCATTCATCTCATGAGAGTAGTTGTTGACGGTGACAATGGGGATCATAACCAGAGTTACGAAGTGTGTGCTTTGTGCGAGGCTCTTGGCAGGCGGCTAGTAATTCTGCGGAGAGAAACCAAACCATATGTCAAAAAACCCATTGCAATGAATTCATTCCTCTCGACATTTAGTATGTAACCTTCATGCTGTCTATCTAGTTTTGCCAGTTTTAACATATGCTGTGAATCCTAGACATTTAATAAATAAGCCAAACAATTTCTTGTGGCCTCAGAGAATTCCTTGGACCACCAGAAAGAGCAACGTAGGTGTTTTGAAAGAGGCAAGATGTCTCATCACAAACATCAGAAAGAGACAGTCATTATCTGTAGGTCATGTTTTGAGAAGAAAGAAACTGGAACATGTGGTGACCCCCAAAAAGATCTGTGGAAAGATGACAGAGGAATACAACATGATAAGATTCTAGACAACCTTTTGTCATGGCATAGAGGTATATCAGCACACAGTGCACACAATAAATACTATTGAAGACTGCAGACTGAGTTATGAACAATGAGTTATGAGTTAGATTATCTTCACAGCACTCCGGACACATCCATAGGTGCTCCCATTCCCCTCTCAACATATTCATCAGCGTCGCCAGGGTAATAGTCTTGTCACCTGTCGTACGGTTTCCATGAATGATATTTCACCACAGGACACAGATGAAACGCGGATAAGAAGACTGGGCAATCGTGCATGAAACTCCGTAGCATGGCCCAGAAGCCCGTTACATTCCGAAATATTACATTAAACACATAACTAGGGGCAAAAACACCCTTCATCTTGTCTGTTTACACCGGATGTCAAAGACTGAAGATTGTGGAGAGGTATGATGCCCATGCCAGTCAGCAAGGCATTTGATGATAATTATCTTTTTTTGATTTCCTGAAGAAAATCTGAGCCATATGATGTGATCAACAGTAAACAATCAACATAATGGGCCTCATGTTAAAATCATTATGCAAGGAAGTAAAAAAAAAATGAAACCAGAATTAAGGGGAGAAAATAATGGTTTTGCAGAAGGCAGAAATATAAAAGGAGCATTTCACTCACTTTACAAGTATACAACAAATGCATTATATTTGCTGGAAAAAATTTGACTGAACAAAGACTTACATCTGTTCTTCATTGACTGTACACAGCCTTTTTAGTAGTCAGTTTTTCCTATATGTTGAAAATGTCTGTAGCTTTAGAATAATGGGAAATATTTCAAGCCACATAAAGCAAATATTTAGAATAGTGTTGGATTAAGACAAGAGTGGTTTTTGTGCAGGTACACTTATTTTAGCCATTATGACCTTTAGGAAAAAATCTTACTAATTAATTAAAGGTATATTTTCATCCTTTTGTTAAATTTTTTTTTTTTTTATTAACATTCAGCCCCTTAAAGTTGTTAAAGATTTTCGTTTGTGTTCTTTTCTTGAGAAATTTTAAAAATTGGAACCAATTGTTTGCTTTTTATCTGTTACAAACAATTTTGCCCTTTAAAAATGTATTTGATGTGGCAAATGTGGCATTTAATTGATGTGCCAAATGTGGCATTTAATTGATGTGCCAAATGTGGCATTTAATTGATGTGCCAAATGTGGCATTTAAAAATATTATTTTCATTCTTATTTCATGCTTATTTTCAATTTTGGTTTATTCTTTGTTAACTCCTCTAACTGCATCGCTGTTTCTATTTATACTAAAATTGTTGTTATTTTATTGTTTCAGACAATAATTTTAGTTGAGCACAGGTATTATTTCACTAGCCTTTGTACTGCGTGTTTCAAGATACATTTCATCATTGATACATATTTTTTTTACATGCTTAAAGTATCTTTTATTACAGTTGGATAGTTAAAATTTTCAAATATTCAAAAACCTTCACTGAGAATTTTAAAAGCAGGAAGAAACTCAGAGACTGTAAAATTAGAAAGGCTATGATTGAATTAATAATTTAAAAAATATTAAAGAAAGAATAAACAGAATACTGATTGTCTTCATAAATAGACATGAATTAATCATTTTATGTGTCCTTTCTTTAGGAAATCAAAGACAACCCAACAGATGATTCTTTCAGCAGTTTCTGGCCAATCGTAATATACCATGTGTCTTTCTTCATCTTCATCACAACCATCGGCCTCAACATTATCTTTGGTATCATTGTTGATACTTTTTCTGAACTCCGAGATCTGAAGGTTAGTTCATTGTCTGTGTGACTAATAGTGTTTGTGTTTGTGTGGGCGGGGGGGGGGGGGGGGGGTAAATTGTATGACAAACAGTTTCTGTACAAGGGCTTTATGATGATGTTAGTTTGAGACCCTGTATCATGGCTGACAAAGTTACATTTCTGTTGAAATAAATAGGCAACTTAAAAGCATTCTTGTATCCTCATAGTGTGCTGCTTTGGACAGAAAGAGTTATCCTTCTTTAGCCATTAACTCTTTGAGTCCCAGGGGGTTTATCATCACAGGCCCAAGGGGTTGTAAAGATAGTCATAAAATCGGCGCATCATACGTTCACTGGGCTTCTAGGTAGAAACCTATGAACGTATGATGCGTTCCTTGGGACTCGAAGAGTTAATGCCCTTATCTACATACAAGACAGCATGTTATTTTGTCTCTGTGTCAAGTATCTGCCAGCGAATCATCTATATAGCTATCTGAAAGTCTGGGACACTTAACCCATTCAGCACTTCAAGGTGTTCAAGGTTCAAGAGGTGTTTTTGAACACAGTTCTCATTGTGTGCGTGTGAGTGAGTGTGTGTATGCGAGAGGAGAGGGAGGACAATCACAATGACTTTCTGCAGCTTTTAAACTTAAATTTAAACAATTTTTGGAAATCATTGGTTCAGAATAAAAAATTATATGCCCACTCTACAAGATCCGAACATGGAATTAAACTAGCTCAAATAAACAGTATCTTCATTCATTGAAAAATAACTGCTATGATTCTGGTTTTTTTTTTTTTTTTTAATGAAAGAGAATACCTGTTTCACTAGCTATCATTAACTTGCAAAAGTCAGAGAATTTGTCTAATCATAACAGCACTGGACATTTATCAACAATCATTTAGTGCCTTCTATTGCCCACTTCTTCTTCTTCAGCATTCCAAGCCCCCTTGAGGTTCATTGCTGCAGATATCACCCGCCTTCATTCATCTCTCTGGTTGGCCTTCTCTTTCCAGTTGGTGACATCAGCTTACTTGCCCACTTACTTCCTCTAAATGGATACCCATTCCAAACGAATACTTTGTGGTAGTTATTGCCCTGGAATATGCTGTTATAAATACAGATGGTTCTGTGATTCACAGTAAGAGCTAAACAGCAAGAGCTAAACAGCAAGAGCTAAACAGTGAGAGCTAAACAGCGAGAGCTAAACAGTGAGATCTAGACAGCGAGAGCTAGACAGTGAGAGCTAAACAGTGAGAGCTAGACAGCGAGAGCTAAACAGGAAGAGCTAAACAGCGAGAGCTAAACAGCAAGAGCTAAACAGTGAGAGCTAAACAGTGAGAGCTAAACAGCGAGAGCTAAACAGTGAGAGCTAAACAGTGAGAGCTAAACAGCGAGAGCTAAACAGCGAGAGCTAAACGACGAGAGCTAAACGACGAGAGCTAAACGACGAGAGCTAAACAGCGAGAGCTAAACAGCGAGAGCTAAACAGCGAGAGCTAAAGGAAAAGTCATCAAAGAAGGCAGGAAAGCCTTTGCTTCTACTACCAGCATCATGACAATAGAGGTTATGGTTGTGGCAAAGGCCCTAGAATAGCTGAAAACTCAGGAATTCACCAGTGCATGCTTTCTTAGCCATTTAGTGAGCATCTTCAGAAGGAAGATCAAGGCCGGGTAAACAGGGAAACAGTGGCTCCATCTGATAAAGCACGCAGCATTTCACAAAATCACCTTCATTTTTTTCTAGGTCATGCTGGTGTGAAAGACAATGAGAGAGCAGATTTCCTGGCTGGTGATGACTATCAGAATGGGCCATCTATGGATAGGAGAGAGATCATCAATGCCATGGGAGAAACTAAACGCTGTGAGGCTCTTTCAGTTTTGTGGAAAATGTTTTTTCACTGAAAAGACTGCATACCTTGGGTGAACCAACTGGAGCAGGGAGACAGGCAAAACATGTGGGAGCCAGGCAAAACACGTGGGAGCCACCCAGCCTTACATCAGCCAGAACATAATGAGAGTTATTAGCCTAAAAACGCTTGGAGAAATACCCAGGAGGAGATCTAAGCACTTATGGTGATGTTCGATTCGTTATGAAATTGATCTTTAAAAGAACAGTTTACCTCCTCTAAGAAAATGAATAAAGTTGACATATTTAGTTGTCTACATTTTTATAAAATCCACAGTGGCGTGCTGAGTCTGACATGAAGGATACATGTTTCATATGCAGCAGAAACAGTTATGATTTTGAACATCATGGCAGAGTGAGTATCTCTTCTGACCTCTGTTTGATGCTGACCTTTGTTCTCTGAACTCTTTTCATGTTGATTAGGTATAATTGAAAGTAAGGCATGTTTGAAAATGAAGAACAACAGGCAACAGTCAACGGTCAGATGTGCCTCAAACAATCTGGAAAATTACTTGTAGACAGATGGTCTTCTTTCACTCATCCAGCTGGGCAGATCATTTAACACAATCACCTTCGTGGAGTACTCCAGCATTGTGCAGAGATGTCCGTAAAACAGACGCTCTGTCTGGCAGTGTGACTATCAGGAACGGGCCTTCTAAGGACACAATAGTTATCGTCAATGCTATACGAGAGACTAAATGCTGCGAGGCTTTTGGTTTCCTGGAAAATTATTCTCACTGAATAGTCGTCATACCCTGGGTGTACCAGTTGGAGTGGCGAGACTGGAAAACCATGCGTGACCCACCCGGCGTTACATTAGCCAGAACAGAATGGGAGACGATAGATCAAAAACACTTGGAGACATACTCAGGAGGGGATTGGAGCACTTATGATCATGTCCAATCTGCGATGAAGATGATCACTAAAATAAACAATGAAAACAGAACATTCAGTAATAAAAAACAAATCTAAATCACTACAGTATTTTTCCAAACTGGACTATGAGTTATTTTGTAACTGTTGTATATTGACCCCATATAACTGTGTTATATGGCTATACAGTCGAACAGGGTTTCTGAGATTTGTAGTGGTCTGATTCTCATTCTTGAGCTGTTAATCCTACAGTCTGTAATCCTGGAGTGGAAAACTAAAATGTTTCAAAAGATAAATAAATACATAAATCAAAGAATTATAACTGTTCCTGATATCTGCTAATTCAAATTGTGAATGCTCTGTTAATCACTTATAAGCACAATGATCATAAGAAGTTCAGATTTTATGTTTCTTTTTTACCTACCCCTTTCGTCTCTGATCATAACCCCTGAACTGAAAAAGTTAAGGCTGGGTTGATCTAGTAAAAAAAAAAAAGAAAAAAAAATTAAGATCCCTTTTCATGCCTTTAGTTGTATCGGGCGTATGGGAAGAGCACCCATATTTTTACAGACTAATCGGCACTAGGTGGGTAATGGGGTTAGCATTACGCTGTGGTTGATCTAGGAGCCTGGGTAAATCATGGGGTGTTTTTTTTTTAATAGTCTGCCTGGATGGGCTTGGGGTTTGAACACATGCAACAGACTAGCAGCAACCATTCTAGCCACTGTGCCAGAACAGCAAGCTGTATTTGATTACTTATATACAAGGCTTTTTTCTGGTAATACTCAACAGTATACAGTACTAGTACCCCCCACTCTCTTTGTCTTTGTGTATTATTTTTTTTTTCAGCACTGCTGCAATAGATACTTTGTGGGCGGTACCAGAACCTTTTATTATATACTTTGCTGTGGGTACCGGCACTTTTTTTGTCTAGAACATAAAGCCCTGTTTACAGCTGTGTTTGTCTTTCACAAATAATCCAGTTTTACTGAACATTCACAGGGATTTGACCACCATGTCAAGCAAGAACACAATATGTGGGCCTACGTCTACTTCATCCTTCATTTGGATGACATCAAGGCCAGTGACTATACAGCATTAGAACTCTATGTTGCCAAATTGGTAAGATTATTGTTTTATCTCTTTGTGTTGCCAAATTGGTAAGATTATTGTTTTATCTCTTTGTGTTGCCAAATTGGTAAGATTATTGTTTTATCTCTTTGTGTTGCCAAATTGGTAAGATTATTGTTTTATCTCTTTGTGTTGCCAAATTGGTAAGATTATTGTTTTATCTCTTGTGTGCCAAATTGGTAAAATTGGTAAGATCTTATTGTTGCCAAATTTTATTGTTTTATCTCTTTGTGTTGCCAAATTTTAAGATTATTGTTTTATCTCTTTGTGTTGCCAAATTGGTAAGATTATTGTTTTATCTCTTTGTGTTGCCAAATTGGCAAGATTATTGTTTTATCTCTTTGTGTTGCCAAATTGGCAAGATTATTGTTTTATCTCTTTGTGTTGCCAAATTGGCAAGATTATTGTTTTATCTCTTTGTGTTGCCAAATTGGCAAGATTATTGTTTTATCTCTTTGTTTCTTCACAAATGACGTGACAGATAATTGGCCCAACTGTAAGATTATTATTCAGTTAGTTATATTTTTTGTCCATGAAAAAAATTGTAGAAATGTGGAAAAACTGATAAGTCATTGCTTTGTTTATTTATTTGTTCATAGAAGATATTTTTCCAAACTGATTAAATCAATTCTTCATTTGTTAAATTATTCCTGACAAATAAGTGGCCAAAATGATAAGATCCAGGACACTGTAATTTAGAGTTCAAATCAGTGCACGGTTGAATTCTCCGACCACCCCAGAACATTACTGTTTTTGTTTTAAATATAGAAAACTGGATTTAAACTTTAAAGTTAAGTGCATTTTATGTATGCATTTTTATTTATGTTGGATAAAATGTTGATAGAATGATGAATGTTTCAGATGGAAAAGGAGAACTATGAGTTTATCCCCCTCAACAGAGCCCTGTGTTTGTCGTCTGTAGATATTGATTCAACCGAATCAAAAATTGATGAGCTGCTCACACAAGTGACCAACATTGCCAAAAAACAGAAAGAAGAGGTACAAGCTGTATTATGTGTATCCCATTTTATAGATGTAGTCCATTTTCTCATATGTTATCTGGGCCAATAGGGGACAATTCATCATAGGGATTGTGTCTTAAGTTTCATTTATCATGTACTTAATGTACAGTTATTAAAATGATGATGATGATGTACAACCCAACCAGGACATCACACTGAGAAATGAACGCTTGGTGACACAAAGTGCCACCATTTGGATGAGGATCACCCGGAGATAGGTCCTAGAAACTCCATTCAACCCATAGGTTGGTTTATTTTGGACTGCGGAAACAGCTTTAAAACAAAAACAAAATTGCGTCTGACAGTGGGACACATTGTAATATAAATTATTAAAATGTGTGGCAACTAAGACATGCAATACCATTTTATGTATACAGTAAGATCATATCATCAGGTTTAGACTTCGATGTGATAACATGGTTAATCTTAGTTCTTTCTATGTTAGGATGTTCTGCATAAGAAAAGACATTGTGATACTGTTTTTCAGTTTACTGAAAATTCAGGAACAGCAAAATATGGCACATTTAAAGTTGTGCAGCCTAATTTGTGTGTATACTCTACTTAAAATTATAGTTATCTTTATCTTCGTCTTCCTTTTTTCTTGCTATCCTTGTTCTACTGCTGTTAACTTTTTTTTTTCTTCTTTCTTTCTTTTTTCTATCTTCTTCTTCCTTTCTTTCTTCTTCTTTCTTCTTCCTTCTTCTTTTTCCTTCTTCCTCTTCCTTCTTCCTCTTCCTTCTTTTTTTTTCTTTCTTCTTTTTTTCCTTCATCTTCTCCTCCTCCTCCTTCTCCTTTTTCTTCTTCTTCTTCTTTTTCTTCTTCTTCTTCTTCTTCTTCTTCTTCTTCTTCTTCTTCTTCTTCTTCCTTCCTTCCTTCCTTCCTTCCTTCCTTCCTTCCTTCCTTCCTTCCTTCCTTCCTTCCTTCCTTCCTCCTTCCTTCCTTCCTTCCTTCCTTCCTTCCTTCCTTCCTTCCTTCCTTTTTTTCCTTCCTTCCTTCCTTCCTTCCTTCCTTCCTTCTTCCTTCCTTCCCTTCCTTCCTTCCTTCCTTCCTTCCTTCCTTCCTTCCTTCCTTCCTTCTTCCTTCCTTCCTTCCTTCCTTCCTTCCTTCCTTCCTTCCTTCCTTCTTCCTTCTTTCCTTCTTCTTCCTTCCTTCCTTTCCTTCCTTCCTTCTTCCTTCCTTCCTTCCTTCCTTCCTTCCTTCCTTCCTTCCTTCCTTCTTCTTCCTTCCTTCTTCTTCCTTCCTTCTTCCTTCCTTCCTTCTTCTTCTTCTTCCTTCCTTCCTTCCTTCCTTCCTTCCTTCCTTCCTTCTTCTTCTTCTTCTTCCTTCCTTCCTTCTTCTTCTTTCTTCTTCTTCTTCTTTCTTCCTTCCTTCTTCTTCCTTCCTTCTTCTTCTTCCCTTCTTCCTCTCCCTCCCTCCCTCCCTCCCTCCCTCCCTCCCTCCCTTCTTCCCTCCCTTCTTCTTCTTCTTCTTTCTTTTCTTCTTTCTTTTCTTCTTTCTTTCTTCTTTCTTTCTTCTTTCTTTCTTCTTCTTCTTTTTTTCTTTCTTCTTTCTTTCTTTTCTTCATTATTTTCTTCTTTTTCTATTCTTTGTTTTCTTCCTCTCCTCCTCCTCCTCTTCATCCTCTGTTCTTGTGGACTGAAACAGGCATTAGTAACCATGCATGAGTCTCGAGTCTGCTCTTTCATTTGATATTTTGATTAGGCTGGTGTTGCAGATATTGTCTGTTTGTTGCTCAGCTGCTTAAGCTTTCCACATGCATCTCATTTTTTTTACTGGTTGAACTAATTTATATATCTATTTCTTTTATCCATTTTTAGGAAGCTGAGAAAAAACGTAAAGTAGAAAAACTAAAACAAAGACGCTGGCAGGAGAAACATAGAGGAATAGTGTTTGGCAATGGAGGCTACGATTCTGAAACTGATAATTTGCTGCACTCCAGAGTTCCTAGTGTAGGTCGCCCAGCCTCTCGTATGATGAGCAGGGAAATGAGTCGTGAGGATCTTTCCATTCACCAGATTGGCCCTGGTGAGAGTTCCCTTTCTCGCAGACGACCAATCAGAATGGTAGAAAGTGAGGGAAGCAATCAGTTAGCACTTCCTTCTTCTCTAGCTCGCCACATGAAACAATCGTCCATTCAGAGAGATTCGGAGGATGAGGACACAGATGGGGATTCTATGAGTGACAGTGACTCTAGCTATCACAGACCAAGCTCATGTGGGTTATTAGATGACGATCCAGCGCTTCCAGCTTATCCTTCCCCACCTGTTCAGGAGGTGTCTGACGAAGCACCTTCCTCTTTCCCTCTACCTCCAGCTCTTGTACCAACCTCTGTCTATCCCCCACCTCAGATGATAGTATCCCCACCATCAGTGCCTGCTTCACCACGATCGACAGCACAGTATCATTTCCACACTGGAGATGAAGAAACAGAAGATGATGATGATGATGATGATGATGATACAAAACCAACATGACACACTTCTTCTGCTCTTTAGCTGGAAACCATTTCTTGCCTACATGTGTGGTTGTGTCTTCTCCTCTTCTGCCTTTTATCTCCCAGTGGAGCATAGGTCCGTGTGTGAATGTGTACCTGCCAGGAAATTTCACTACTGGATTCTGCAATGGGGAGTTTAAAAATTGTCAGAGATTTTGAATATTTAGGCTCAATAACGAATAACTGCACAAAAAAGTCAGGAAGAAGAAAACTTGTTTTTGCTCTGCAGAGGCTAAACAGCATGAAGAACCTATGGCATAGCACCTGCAAGTAAGTTTAAGTAAGCATTTTTAGATCATGCATCTTTCCCGTGTAAACTTAGGAATGTGAGTCCTAGATTTTTCCTCAGTCTTTTTAGAAGAAAATTAGAGCTTTGGAATTAAAAATCTGCAGAAGAATTCTTAGAACACTGGACTGAAAAAAAAAAAAACATACAAATGTTGATTTCCTGCCTGACCTGAATATCCAGGAGAATTGTGACTTCCTGCCTGACCTGAATATCCAGGAGAATTGTGACTTCCTGCCTGACCTGAATATCCAGGAGAATTGTGACTTCCTGCCTGACCTGTATATCCAGGAGAATTGGCTCGAAAGCTGCATCCTCTCTCGAAAGCTGCATCCTCTCTCGAAAGCTGCATCCTCTCTCGAAAGCTGCATCCTCTCTCGAAAGCTGCATCCTCTCTCGAAAGCTGCATCCTCTCTCGAAAGCTGCATCCTCTCTCGAAAGCTGCATCCTCTCTCGAAAGCTGCATCCTCTTTCGAAAGCTGAGGTATTTTGGAAATATCCAGTGTCATGGGGGTCTTGAGAAAATGGTGATGGAGGCTACAGTTTCCAGAAAATAAGGCATAGGGTTTCCATGAAGGTGGATACAGGTCTTTGAAGATGTATTGGCTGTGAAAGAACAGAAGGCCAAAGAACCGGCTAGAGAAAGAGACATTTTTAAGTTTGCCAGGGGAGGAGAGCGACGTTCTGTAAAGGACAAGCAGATTGATTGACTGACTGAAGATCATGCCTTTTTGCATGTGAATTTTTTCTCACAGGGAGCAAGTACAGCAGGGATCTACCAGTCATCAATAGAAATTATTCTCGTCGACAAGTGTTTCGGCCCACGATTCCTAGACACTTTCGGAGGTGGGCCCACCTGAGTTCATGAAGCTCAGGGCTGGTACCCTGCTGCACGAGATGTATCATGGGTCAGGTCCTTTGCTGAGCGTCACCCTTATCACGGTCTGTCTGAAAGAATTTGGTCTCTCTTTATCTGTCCCGCCATATATATTTTCTTACCAAAGTGTCACTTATATCCTATGCCCATCTTCATGCTGATCGACGCCTGCCCCTCTTTCTTGGTACCATGCCTTTTGCTGGGTTTTTTTCCTGTCTGACGTGGCACTTGATACGGCCAAACTATTTCAGTTTCCAAGATAAGATCCTGTCTACTAGCCAATCTTCTTTGATGATCACATCTCCTTGGATGTCAATATTTCTTTTCTTCTTTTTCCATGGCATTCTGAAATTCTTAGGATTTCACAAATATTTGGTGACTTGATCGGCTGCCTTACATCTTGTCTTTTCCTAGTGACTTACAACTGACAAGCAGGTCACATGGTCACAAAAATGCAATCTCTTTTCTTCCATTTCCATGGGTGGAATAAAATCAAGTTTTTGTTAGGTTCATGTTTCCACAAAATTCTGACACCTGATTTCCAACCAACTTTCCAGGTGACCTAGCCTTAATAGTTTGAGCCCAGCCCATCTTTGGACTGAAGTGTCTGGCAATCCCTGTCAGTGTCGACTAGTCATGACTTGCACTAGGGGGATCCCTTTCTGAGAGTGAATTGGGGGGTCCCTTTCTGAGAGTGGATTGGGGGATCCCTTTCTGAGAGTGGATTGGGGGATCCCTTTCTGAGAGTGGATTGGGGGATCCCTTTCTGAGAGTGGATTGGGGGTTCCCTTTTTGAGAGTGGGTTAGAGGATCCCTTTCTAAGAGTGGGTTAGAGGATCCCTTTGTGAGAGTGGATTGGGGGATCCCTTTCTAAGAGTGGGTTAGAGGATCCCTTTCGAAGAGTGGGTTAGAGGATTCCTTTGTGAGAGTGGATTAGGAGGATCCTTTGTGGGGGTGGATTGGGGCATCCCTTTGTGAGAGTGGATTAGGGAGTAGATTACTGCTAAAAGTAAATTAGTGGGATCCCTTTCCGAGAGATTAGTAATGACATTAGCTGTTTAATCAGCATCAGAGTGTGACCAGTCTACAAATGACATTAACTGTTTGATCTAAATCAGCAGTAGACTACAAATGACATTACATCAGTATCGGAGTTGACTACAAATGACATTACATCAGTATCAGAGTTGACTACAAATGACATTACATCAGTATCAGAGTTGACTACAAATGACATTACATCAGTATCAGAGTTGACTACAAATGACATTACATCAGTATCAGAGTTGACTACAAATGACATTACATCAGTATCAGAGTTGACTACAAATGACATTACATCAGTATCAGAGTTGACTACAAATGACATTACATCAGTATCAGAGTTGACTACAAATGACATGTAGTAGAGTAAGCCCTGCCCGAGTGTAGACAACAAATTATCCTTACATTTCTCAGATTCCTCTATTTTAAATTACACAGACTTATTTTGTTGGTAAATTAGGAAGAGTTTGGAGGCAACTGAGATGTGATTCTTGAGAAGAACGTTGTGAATACCTTGGACTGCCAGAATAACTAACACTGATTGCCTGGAAATTGCTAATGAACGTAGAAAAGGAGCACTGGAAAATACTGTGATGACTGCAAAGATCACTGGCAGAAGAGGCAGAGGCAGACCAAGAGAAATGATGGTGGATGACTTGAGACAGTGGCATAGAGGAATATCATCAGTGGAATTGATCTAAAACACAGAAGACCAGGATTCGTGGAGATGCATGAACACCTACTGGCAGCTGGCAAATCACTTGATGATGATGATTTTGTTTGTAAGTTTAAAATTATGGAAATTTGACAGGATAACGAGAAACCAGAACTTTGGAGTCGGATGATCAGATAACTTTAGAACAAGACTTGACTGACCCTTTGATGATGGTAAAATACATGTTTTTGTCAGTAACTACTGCAAACCTACTGTTGCTATTATTGCCTTTGTATTCATTATTGAATCTTCTTATTCTTATTCTTTTCTGTTTCTTCTTCTTCATGTTCCCCAGCTGTAAACTCCAGCAGAAAGTTGTAGTTGCTCGCCCACTTCCAGAACCTGAGTTTTACAGATCTGGCTTGTTAGTCTTGTTCCAAGACCTGAGTTTTACAGATCTGGCTTGTTAGTCTTGTTCCAAAACCTGAGTTTTACAGATCTGGCTTGTTAGTCTTGTTCCAAAACCTGAGTTTTACAGATCTGGCTTGTTAGTCTTGTTCCAGAACCTGAGTTTTACAGATCTGGCTCATTTCTAATCAGACTGTTGGTTGCTTACCTCTGAGGCAGATGCACTCCCAACTTTGAAGGAAACACCCTTTTTCAGTCACCTTGTAAGACAGACATGTTTATAAGAGGGGCAGTGGGTCTATTCTAAGTTGTTGTTTCCTCTTCCCCCCCCCCACTCCCCCCCCCCCCCACCCCAACCCAATGGGATCCCAGAACCCACACAGGGTTGTGTAACTGGTGCATGCAGTAAACTATAAACAAAACTGGTGCTGAACTCTCGCACATTTCTCGTGTTTATTTAATATTTGTTCAGTATAATAAAGAGTGTCAAGTAATAATACATTACCTGGTTTTGATAAACTGCATTGCCATTTGATAATACAGTAATATTTTATAACATTATATCTTTTCAATACATTACATTGTCATTTTATAATAATTTTGTTACTGATAACAGTTTCAGCAATAAAAATGTCATTTAATAATGTGCTATGGCATGTGATAATACACACAATTATGTGATACTATTAAATCATTGAATTATATGCAGTGTTATGTAATAGTATGTCAAATCATTTGTCAAATTATTGCATTTATACATTGTTATGTTTATGACACCCAGTGTTTTTTATAATTCTTTCATCAGTTGTTAATTTCATCATTTAATTATGTGATGTCTTTTGAAAACATTTTGTGTCTTTTGATAAACTTATTGTGTCTTTTGCTAAACTAATTGTGATGTACATAAATGTTATATAGATATAATGTCAATGTACAAAACATTGTCACACTGTCATAGTTGTTTTATGTGTTGAAGATGAAATATTATATGAGTACAGATACCAGTCAATCAGAATATCCTTTACAGAAAATTGCTGTCTTCACGGGATGCCTGAAAGTTTCTCCGCCTCTAGGAAATTGTCTAGCCCTGTGTGCTTTCATAGTCCTTGCATTTGCAATGTTCCGTATCCGCATTCATGGATGTTGGCTTCTGTCTCGTGTTTCAGAACCTGCACCCTCCATCACCGCTCTCTCCAAACCTTCATGGCGTTTGACATGTCCAAAATACCTCAACTTTCGGGGGAGGATGCTGTTTATGAGCCAGTCCTCCTTGATGTTCAGGTCATGCAGAATTTTGTCATTTTCTTTTCCTTCTTGGTTCATTGTATTCAAAGAATTGTTCTGTAGCATTTCAGTTTAAAAGCTAAAGTTTACTTCTTCAAAGACTGACTGGGAATATATGCCTCACAATCATTACATTTTTAATTGATTGCACGTGGTAGCACGGAATGTAGGAATAGACTGTGAGCCCATTGTAACATAATGGCACAAGAGTGTAATTAATGATTGAATCACTTATTATCCAAAAGCTGGGTAACAGTTGAGCTGTAAATAAAGGACTAATGAACAGAAAATAACTATGCAGCTCAAAAAAGAAACATACAGATTTGTTTGAGTGTGTGTGAACACTCATGTCAAGTGTATACATGTGTGTGTGAACACTCATGTCAGGTGTTTGTGTGTGTGAACACTCATGTCAAGTGTTCGTGT